AATGCTTTTGTTAAAAGAATGTTTATGGCTTTTAGCCATTTTATAATAATCACAATGAAAATCAGACAAAATGTGTTTAAAACCAGAAATACAGCGAGCTAAAGTGTTAAAGATTTTGCTATTGGGGTGGTCGAGACGAGCATGCCAGGTGGAGATGAGCGTGGTGGCAGCCTGAAGCGCAGTGGGTAACTTGGCTGGAGCTATATGAAGTTTGTAGATGCCGTCGGCATCCACGAAGGAGAAGTTGCTGGTCCTGTAAGTCCTTGATTTCAAAACCATTAGAGTCGAATGTGATTGTAACAGAGTTATCCGTGGTTAATTTCGAAACGGAAAGAAGATTGTGTGTGAGTGCAGGAACGTGTAGTAAATTGCAAAGATGAAGCTTACGCGACGAATCAAGCAAGGGAAGAAGTCCTTATTCGTAGTTATGTATGGGTATCATCGTGCCATTAGCCATCGAGATAGAGTCGTGTCCGTGGTAATTAGAGAGAAATTGGATGTTCAAATCGTCCGACGTCATATGTGAAGGAGCTCCGGAGTCCAGAACCCATGTTTGAGGTGCCTTCGGATTCGGTTGAGCAAGAAGTGCTCGAGGAGCAGTAGACGTGGGCGAGGCGTATGAGAGGTTACAGTGATGCCAACAGTTGTTTGCTGTATGGCCAATTGTGACGCCCCAGGCATCCATAGTGAAAGGATTCGTCGACAGTCTTGATCAACCTCAATCTTCTGCTCTCTTGCTCTGACCTGAAAATATTAACCACATATAATGAGCTTCAAAAAGCCCAGCAGGTCACCTAATACCTATAACTGAAATCAAAGTACAGTACTGAAACAATATGCATGTCAGTCAATCAAATTCATAACAGTCAGTTGCACATGATCAGTGAATCTATGCAGCATATACGAAAATCAGTAATCAATGCATGATCGATACAATCCACAATCATCGGTACAAGAATAAATAAATAATAGGAAGAAATCCATAAAGCTCAATAAATCAGTACATACGTCAAATTTCAGAAGAATCCATAAACAGTAGAAAAATCAATATTCGGAAGAATCTCAGTTAAATCAATCAGTCAAATCGATAGAGAAAAATCGTTGTCTCGATAATATCAGTTAAATCAATATCGTATCAATGGAATCAATCAAATCTGGTCAATAATATCAATCGGTATGAAATCATATAAACAATCAAACCAATACATCGCAAGAACAGTTGAAATCAAATCAATACAGTAAAACCTATTCCATATCAGTCAATGAATCACATGCAGGAGTTCAATATGGTGTATCAATGAAGCGATAATATCAATGAATCAATATCAATGAATCAATAATATCCATGTCCATAGTATCAATGAATCAATACAATATCAATATCCATATCAATATCAGTATCTATGTACAGTGGCACGATGCGAATATCAATGAAATCGTACAGGAACAATAAACTCGTAAATCCACAATAAATTCTTCAAATTAAATAAATCAATAAATCCATAATGAGATCATAAGGACAATTTTGTACACATGCAATACAATACAATAGTCTTACTGAACAAGTACAATCACTGGCTATTAAGGCGTTTTTCGAGTCGATAATCAATTGTGCTGTTGTAGAAATCCATAAATATATCCGTTAGATCAATAAGAGTCATCACTCTGTGCCCGTCGGCCGCCCGTTGGCATAATAATCTCCTTATGACTCCCAATCATTATATCAATGATCAATAGAGGATATCGCCAAACCCTTTTTAAAGGAAAGCCCGTCGGCCCACCATCCTGTACAGGTCAAGTCAATCTCCAACCAATGATTCAACCAGTCTTCACTTATCTTTTAGTAACAATAACAATAATTCAATCGTAACATTTGTATGCATATCAATAAGGTATTGTAATCAATAAATTCAATTTAGCTCAATGTAGGAAAAACCCTTAAAATATCGTATAGTAGACAGACGTCGTTTCAAAATGCACAGTTCCCGAAAATTACCAAATTACCAGAAATTGAATAAAACAATGTTTCAAAACTTTACTTGTACTGAAGCAACATTTTTCAACATCATGAAAATTTTCTATTCGATAAAAATTGCACAGAACTCAAAATAACTGGTGAAAACTTTATAGAAAATACTCAAATAGTGTAAAAATATCATATCAGAAATATATCAAAAGTTGTGAGGTAAAACTTTCGTCAATACAAAATTATGCGCGTTATTCGGTAACGAAAACACAAAACTGAGCACAGAATTATTAAAACTTGAAATCTTCGAAATCAGAAATAGGATTCAGAGTCCTTACTGTGAGACGAACAAATCTTCCAACTGCATCGTCGGACAAAAAGCGCTCCGCGGCCTCCGAAACCAGGCTTCTTCTTTCTCTTTCCTTCTCTTTCTCTCTCCTTCCTCTTTCTCTCTCTTCAAAATGATCCAAAATATCTCAAATCCGATACTTATCAAGCAGGATCGTCCATGACGATGCCCAGATCGTCCCGGGACGAATTCCTCTGGACACGGATCGTACAGACGAAATTAATTCCAATTTATTTCGTCCCTAGACGAAACTCTCGGGTTCAGTTCGTCCCGACCCTTACAGGTTCGTCCAGACGAAATTGACAGATTCTTCACAATTTTCTTCAGTTCGTCCGGGACTAAGGCCAGTTCGTCCGGGACTAATAACACTAAAAAATCAGCTTTTTAAGGGTTTTACACCAATCTTGCTGCAAATTAGACACATTGGACGAGTTCCTGAAGCAGATGGCTGGGAGGGAGCTTGATCGGGGGTTGCCGGAATGCGAGAACCATTGCTTGTGTATTTAGAGGAACGCTTTGAATTCTTGTTCCGAGTCTGGTTGTAGGAATTGGCGTAGTATGCAGCAGTAGTCGAGAGTTGATCGTTCTTGGTTTCTTGATTTATGTAGATCTCCTCGCTGCAGAGGAGAGAGTAGAGAGCGTCAAGATCTGCCGGAAGAGAAGAGGCTCGTATGTAAGTCTTGAACGAGTTGTAGGAAGCCGGAAGTCCGTTTAGGATGTAGAGAACAATGTCTTCGGGATCGATCTTTGTTCCTGATGCCACAATGTTGTCGACGATGTTCTTGACTTGGGCTAAGTATTGATGCATCGTATGGTTGTTCATTTGAATGTGATGCAACTCATTCTTGAGTTGAAGGATTCGAGAGCGGCTTAACGACTGTAATCGGCATTCAAGAACCGCCCAAACCTCTTGAGCGGTGGTCGAAGTAATGACGTAAAGGAGAACCGCTGGAGAGATTGTTGAGAATAGAGCAGAGATGAGATTGTTGTTGATGAAGCACCACCGAGGGTGTTCGGAGGACGTTGGGTCCGACGGAGGAGAAGTTCTTCCGGTGAGATGATCGGCATAGCCGTTCGTGGAGATGTGCTGAAAGATTTGAGTACGCTAGATCGCGTAATTGTCAGAGGTGAGGGAATGTGGGATCAGGTTTTTGATATTGGAGATGATGAATTTGAGAGTCGTCAGAATGACGAGCTTCGGCGATTCTCCGGCGAGTGTAGAGGATGCGGAGGGTTGGAGGAAGTAGAATCTTGATCCCCCATGACTAGCTCTTTGATACCATGAAGGAGAGCACAGCGGGAAAGGCAAGCGGTAAAGAAGATAGTGGAAAACAGAGAGAAAGAAAGAAAGAGGGAAAATTCTTATTCAAATTAAAACGGAGTATTACAACCGTATATATAAAGAATGATAAGCTAAAGAGTAAGGTGAGCTTGAGTAAAATGTATGCATATGATAAACCTTGTTCTAATACAACCAACAACTTAACAATATTTGGACCAACGCCAATGCATGATATCCTTATTTAGTTTTATTCAAATCTTATCCGAACACTTAATTATATTTTCTTTGACTCTTTTTCCAAAAATAATATGACATAATCGATGAACGATTAAAGATAAGTTCAAGTATTCGAATAAGTTCAAATAAGACTATGATTCGTTAAAGTTAGTTTGAATAATACTAAATCGTGGGTTGAAAATGTCACGAAGACTCACCGAATATGTTGATCATTTTCAAAAATGATCGACTAATGTTCAAATAACTATTCGACCATAGTTCGCAAATTGTTACGATTATTTGATTGTTATTTAATCATCACTCTGAAAGGAAATATGAACGACTAGCGAGTAAACTAAAGTATAATGGCTAAAAGGTTTATGGTGTGAATCCTATTTTTAATTCTAAACAAAAATTAAAATATCACTAACATTCGAATATTATGAAATCTTCTTCATGAGTTTTTACCACATGTCTAGCGGTGTAAGTGAGTCGAGCCGGCTCGATCTCGACTAGTTTATGGGCTTCCGAGCCAAGCTTATCTCGAATTCACGAGTCGAGCTTGAGCTTAAACTCGAGCTCATTTAGTAAACAAATTCGAGTTCGAGTTTGATAAGACTTGGCTCGTGAGCTTGCGAGCCCGCTCGAATATTTATTAATATTTTTAAAATAATTTTATTTTATTTATTAAATTTAAATATTTTAAAAAATTAATAAGAACCACCTAAGTTTTATAAAATGTTAAAAATTGCGGCATTTTTTTAAGAACAGTCTACGTTTTAAAAATCTAGCTCATGGCTCGCGAGTCCGCTCGAGCTCGTTAATAGTGGGACGAGCTCAAGTTCGAGCATGCACTTGAGCCGACTTTTTGACTGACAAGCCGAGCTAGATACGACTTAAACTTGACTTTATTAGACTCATTTATACCCCTAGAGAAGCCAAAGATGCATGCTCCGCAAATCACTCAATACTACAAAAGTGAAGTAAGAAGGATGAGCCAACGAGTTCTTTCAATAGAAAGTCAAATAACTATGGAACAAGAATTACAACTCTATTAAATAAAAAAGAAAATATTAGTTCAAAGTGAATTTTAGAATATATTTTTCAAAAAAATAAAAGAGCCGACTTTTTTTTTTTCATATAAAGACTGGAATTTTTTTCCTTTTTAACTCACCGTCGAATTGGCCTGCCTTTGAACTAACTTCAGTGCGTCATAGCCTGAATTGACGCAGAAGTAGACGGGCTATAAATTATCTACTTCCTTTTTTACTGAAATTTTATACCTAATTAGTTGCAGGCGGCGTCTTTGCCTGTCTACGTGGCATCTGGACTTCCCCGCGAGTTCTTGTGTCAAAGCAACGCGCAGGCAGAGGGAGACAAGGAAGAGAAAAGTCGTTCTTGGAGTGTGGGGAGGGCGGGAAGGATTTGGATTTAGGGTTTTGGAAACTGGATTGTTTGTGGTTGACGTAGCCTCCCATGAGGAATTCTGTTGGTGATTCACTCAAATCACTTTTAGCTGACATCGAACTCGCGAATACACTGTAAGTGAACTCCTGATTCTGTTTATTTTGGGCTTTTTCTACTGCAATTTTGGACATTGGTGAGAGTTTGAAGGTTTTTTTGGTGTTCTAGGGAATATCACGCTGCAGTTTCTTAAAACGTTTTCTTGTTGATCGATATTTTGTTTTATTTTTTATTTTTTTTGTGCTTGTTTTTGCTGACGCGTAGCGATTTTTCTCGATTTTTTTTTGCGGGCATGGACTTCTAATATGTAAAGAGACTTTTTTTAATGTAAGTGGAGGTTTCTATAAGTGAAAAAAATTGTCAATATTTTCTGATATCTTTCTAATTGTTGATTTTTTTGTAAGTGTTTTTGACGCCTAAAAGATAAGCTTCTGTTTATAGTTTCTTTCTTTCTTCGTATGAGTACTTCTTTTCAGTTTCAACTTATCTTGTTTCCGTTCGGTCAACCAAAATTTTGATATCTAGAGTGAGAGTCTGGAGAAAAATCTTGTGTGGAGTATTTCTAAGAACATCTTCAGGAGATGAGTTTTTTTGAAGGTTTTAAAACAATTTTATTTTTCTATCATGGATTAGATAATGTTTGGAACATTCTGTTGGAAATTATGAATTTGTTTGGTACAGCTGCTGCTGCTTGAAACGTTAGATGGAAAGCTGATGTAGAAAAGCTGCAGTGAGAAATTTTTGCTGAAAAGCTGTTGACTTTTTAGAGCCCAGAAACCATTTTTACGTGTTTGATAGTAATGCTTTATATGTGATGTACAACAACAAAACAGTCAAAGTGCCCACCGGTACAATTAAGTCCCATGATTGGATGATATCATATCAGTACATAAATTATCCGCAGTGCATCAATAACATGATAAACATAATACCAGTTTTACAATGAATTTCGAATGGCATAATCCAACAAAAACCATAGAGCATACTGTCATGGATGGACTTGACTTTTCATTCTATGCGTCTCACATTTTCAAGAAGTCTTGATTCTAAGAACACATAAATGTATGACACATAAAAGATAAAAAAAATAAAAACCTTTCAACTGATGTTAGCACATTTGTTGACATCCATATCAGTGATTGAAGGCCATCTTTAAAATGACGTGAAATTGTTTGGCTAGAGCATTGAAATCTTTCAAGTGTTGCTCTATTTGAACAATTTGTGGTAATATATAAATAATGTCTGAAAATATTTTTATGCTCAGTGATTTTTTGTTTCCAATCAAACCGTATTTGCTTTCTAATAGACGTAATATATTCACAAAATAATTTTAGATTTGAAAAATATTATAAAGTTGGGTTGGATATCCTTCTAATAAATCTCATGCCCACTTTTTACCAGTTTGTTGTGAACTCAAGCATGAGGACTTATTTAATTAGTTGTTATAATACATGGTAGCAACTCCTGTTATTGTAACTAGGTGAGAGTTTTTTTTGCCATTCATATATTAGGGATAGTTTCATCTTTTGAATATGAATTTTCACTATCTTCCATCTAGGTGAAGAAATGAAATAGTTGAATATGCATAATATCATTATCACAAATAAAAAAATAGATTGATGCTTAAAACATGACAATAACTTCAAAAAAAGAAAAAAAAAAGAAAAAAAAGAGCTGCATGATTATGATAAAAATTACTCCACAAAATAACATAACTAGCAATTATTCGAACTACAAATAACTCATCATAGAATTAATAAGACTGCCACGAAAATTGGTCTACATAATAAGAAACCATAACTAGCAATTATTCTACTCTATCTTCTACTATCAAAGAGAATTTCTTGCCTATGAAACCACAATGTCTTGTTGTGAAGACCATTAAATACATTTTTTTTTGTCTTTTTGTTAGATGAGATCAATGCCAAATCCATAGAAGTGCTCAAGTTTCTCAACTTTTCCAATTGAATATATAATTG